AAGTTTATGATTTTATTACAAAATTGCCACCGCGCTACATACTATGACGGGTGGACTACGACCGTGATAAAAACTCGTCATAGAATGCTATTTTTCCACTAGTGGTGTGTGTGTGTGTTTTAATGAATGAATGAAATTGTATTATCCAGAAAAAAAAAATTGGTCTCTCATGAAAAAATATATATCTATTTTTCCGCATAATTAACGCATGTCAGATTCTTTAAAAAAAAAAAAAGGGTCATGACACTGACCACATAATCGAATTTCCCTTACCAAATGGACTATCAAATGCACCATGATATCAAAAAATGAAGGAGGAAAATACATTTCTAACTGGCACACTATTACAATTGCTTCATTTTCTAGTTCATCTAACTTTTTTGGATCAATTACCTTTTTACAAAATATGAAGGGGGAAAATACATTTCTAAATGACATTGAAAAATAGGGATGGCAAAACGGGTCAACTCGTCCCATTTTGGCCCGCCCCTCCTTTGGCCCGCCAAAGCGGGCAGTGGCTGACCGTTATAGTCATGATGGGTTGTAGACCTTAGCCCACCCCGCCATAATTTAGAAAAAAATAATTTATTTTTTAAAATAAATTTTTTTTAATAAATTTAATAATAAGATTATTATTTGTTTGTCAATAATTCAATATATATATATATATATATATATATATATTATTTCAATTTAATAATATAAATCAATACATTATTTTAAGAAATTATAATTTAGAACAATAATAAAATTCACATAATAATAAATAATAACAATATATATATATATATATATATATATATATAACGTTAAAACTTATAAAATTTATATTTTTTATATTGAAAAATTCAAATACCTATATCTTTTTTATTTGATAAAACTTCACATTATTCTTGGTTGATTAATTCTTACACCTTTAATTCAAGTCATAAGGATAAAAATAATAGTGCTTACGTTGAACAAGGAGAACAGGAGAGAGAAAGTTGTGTTTCGAGTAAGGAGAATATTTTCTGTGAGAGTGAAACTATTTTAATTCTCTTTTTAAAATTTTTAACTTTATATATTATCTTTATAATTAATTTTATTACAATAAAAAATTATTTTTTTATTAATTAGGCGGGCCGCAGGCTGGCCCACCCCGTCCTGTGGGTTGGCCCAGAGGGTTGGCGGGCTTGGCGGGGCAGTCAAACGAGCTGGTGGGTTGAAAACACCAACACGCCCTGCCATATTATGGCGGACTTGCGAGCCGGCTCGTCGGGCCTGACCTGTTTTACCATCCCTATTGAAAAACAAATATAACTGAGTAATAGCAACTCTAACAGAAGTTGGTAAGATGTTTCAAATAACCACTAGTAAAAGTTGTTGCATCAACACATGACAATCATGAGACTTTAAACCAACTAATTTCAACTCTTGCATAGACACAAGACTCTTAACATTTGAGGAGTATCCTTGTGGCACTTTGACCTCACGTAAACACTCACAAAAGCTTCTCTTTTCTTTCACACAACATATTCAAATCATTAATTAAAGGACTAAAATATTTATATCTATGTCATTTCCTGGTTGTCGAGGTCCTAAAATCATCATAGACAACATAATATATTTTCTCTTCATGCATAACCAAGGAGATAAATTGTAAATGATCAACAAAATTGACCATGAACTATGTTTACTACTTAAATTGGCAAATACCATAACACCTTAGCAGGGGGACCATCTAGTTTTTCCTGACCACTACTTCCCTCAACTTTGTTTTTGAACCTCGACAAACCACATGTCGGACACATATTTAATTTAGCAAAATAATTTCTGTACAATATACAATCATTAGGACATGCATGTATCTTCTTGTACTCTAAACCCATTGGACATAATATCTTCTTTGCATCATAATTACGAATAGGTAATGTATTATCTTCGGGAAACATCTCCTTCAACAACTCAAATAATTCGGTGAAACTTTAATCAGTTCATCCATTTCTTGCTTTTAAACTAAATAATCTTAAAGTTGCTAATAATCTTATAAAACTACATCTTATGTACAATTGTTGCTCAAAATCAAATTTCAAAGAATCATATAGATGTGCTTTCATAAATTTTTCTTCACCAATATCACGTATCATATCCTCTATATTATCATACATCCCTTCGTCAAAATTTTCTGTAGTTGACATAGTTGGGATGTCTAATATTTCTCCATGCCATGTCCATATTGTATAACTCTTAATAATAACATAAACAAACAAGTGATCACATATATCCTCAAGTTTATGACGAATTTGATTCAAACAACAAACGCATGGACAATAATATGTCTTTTTCATAGGTTTTCCATTTTCACTAGCAAATTTCAAAAATTCCTCAACTCCCTTTTCGTACTCTTCACTAATACGACGTGTATTTATCCAACTTCGATTCATATCTACCTATATTATAAATTTTTGCCACTCCTGAAGATTCAAAATTTATATTTAAAAAATAATTAATATACAAACAACAAAGAAAGTGATTAACACGTAAATGGAGTGTGTAAACCAAAAATGCTCAAACAAATAAACAGATAATGACATTCCAATAACAATCCAGTGGAGAGATTCATACAATAACGTGATTGAGATCCCTAAAAAAATCAAAGATTCAATTTGAACATATAACAGGAGACATAAAACATTAACCTCGAGTATACACAAACACAATTTAAAACTCGAATCCAATCAGGGAGAAACGTCAAATTCGGAAAATGAGACACAATGTTGATGTTTTTCACATTTAAAATGATCAAAAATGGTGTGAAAATGGTAGTTGTCGTCGTCGTTCTCCTCGTTGTTTTCAAAAACCCTTGTTGCACGAAACGAGGAAATGTCCGCGGAAGAGAATAAAAATCAATTTTTATGTCGCACACTACTGTACGCGACATAAAAGCCTTCTTTTACGTCGCACCAACCCAAGTGCGACATAAAAGAAGGATTTTACGTCACGTACAATAGCGTACGACGTAAAAATTTCGCCTCTTATTTACAAAATTATCACCGCATTTTATTTACATCAAATATTTTTTAATACGATAAGAATTGAGGAACGTGAAAAACTTTTTTTGTACTAGTGACATCTTCGCATGTGATGAAAATAAAGAGAAGCAAACCCGAGAATAAAAAAAAGGTGAAAATGTGTATATTCACAAGAAAATCGTTGTCTTAAATGTCAATTATTTATATTTTTATATATTGTATTAACCTGAATTTTTTATTTAACATTTTTTATTTTTAATGTCTTTAAATATAAATAAAAGAGTGAGTCTATACAAATCCTAGAACACCAAATATTTCAATTCAAGATATGAGAATCATCCAAGTAGGAGGCATGAAAAAGTCATAATTATTAAACATTGTCTCTGAAGTTATGTCCCAGAAATTCATAGTCTCACCTAACATCACATTAATTCATAAAACATTCTCTAATGTGTATTTAAAAAGATAAAGACATTTATTTTAACATTTATGTTATTTATATTATATATATATATATATATATATATATATATATATATTAATATTAGCATTTAATTAATGTGGGACGAAAAGTCTTTGGGCAATAAATTGATGTAGTTAATTAGTCTTTTTGTCATCAGTTTAAGATGGAAGCATGTCAAGACATTAAGGTTGAAAATCATGAATAAATAATTTTAATATAAAATGATATATTTTAAATAAACAATAAAAAAATATGAAAATGAAAAGATTATATATATATAATGATTTATGAAAAAAATTTAAATAAATAATTAAATTTATACATATATAAATAAATATATTTAATAACGATTAAATTAAAAAATTAAAATTATAAATATAAAAATAAATTATAAAAGTTTGAGAAGGTCGTCCCCTTTAATATAAAGAAACTCTGCCTATGAAAATACAATCGCAATTGGATGGTGTAAGGGAGAAAAAGTGTCAACATGACGAACACAGTGAGTCATGAATGTGACAAATTTATCAAGATATAATAATAAAAAAAAAGGAAAATGATTTTTTTTACATCCTACTTCAACATTTATTCAACAATTTTCTTTGATAATATAATATTAATTTTAAATTATTTTATTTTTATAAACTCTTCACATGCTTATTACATGAATAAAAGGGTTGTTGATCGAATGAATGGTTTTGTTCGTGATATATCTGCTCTCATTGAATAAACAGTATATATAATTCATTCACGACATCACAGCACATATGATAGATTTTATAATGAAAAGATTATTTGTTTGTAAAACCTTTCGCTCCCGGATATCACAGAGAGGATGGTTATTTTATGTATTTATTTATTTCGAATACGTGTTTTTTTTTTCTAAATAATGTGGTTTTTTAATTAGATATTTACTCATAATATAAAATATTCATTTATAGAGAAACGATAGATAATAGAAAGCATTATAAATTAATTTTATTTTATGAAATAAGTTTATTTTTATTTTGAGTTCTATGCACATTTTATTTTTTATTTTTTTTAATTGTTCCACCATTATCATATTCATAATTGGGAAGTGATATATTTTAAATTTATGAACCAGTATAAAAATAATATTAAAAACCCAATTACCAAATTTCATCTTTTATGTATAAATGGTTTACCAAAACTAGCTCTTACTCGTTGACTCGCACAACTTTAAGGAAATGCACAGTGTTCACTCAAAATAAGTAACGTCTAAATATGTTTTTTTTTTCTTTCCTCCCTCTCCTTGACCAAAACTCCACCACATGTATCTCTACAAATTCTTTCACACTATCAACACTCTCTTTGAATAATCGTCCCATGCAAAATCAATGTTCGTCTTTAACCAAAAACAAAAAACAAAAGAAAATCCAAAAATAGTGAGTAAACTTGTTCTTACACTTGTTTAGGTTTTCTAACTAGCATTGTGACGGCTCAAGAGGTGTGTTTTCCCGAATTCATCTGCATCACCAAATAATTATTACCGAACTTATATCTGTCACCGATACATCTGCAACACCTTCGTCACCAACATCACAAGGTCATCTCCTGCACCCATCAACTCAGAGCGACCCCTTGAGGTCGGTATTCCCGAACCTCTATCTTCGACGCCTTCCCTCCTGTTCCGCCGACCCGGCTGACATTGCAATTGGTGCTTCCACTCGTCAAATTTCACCTGTCTTACTGTCGCGTTGCTGGCTCTTTGTTAGGTGTTTTATTTTGAGTATGTAACCATTGGCGACGAATGTACACGATCATTAGTTAGGTTAAGATGAATGAGTGGGATAGTGCAGAGGTTTGGTTTCAAAAACATATAAAAAAAAAAAAAATTATACATGTGACATGTACCAGTCATTACATATAAATTTTAAAAATTTTCAATTTGAATTTTTTTCCCATAATGGACCACTCAACTAAACGTTTTAGTTTTGGTGTGATGAAACTGCAATCGAGTTTTTAACTTCGTTGAACATTTTGTGTTCACAACATTTTCCTTGATTGATATCATGTTAATGGTTAAGCTACAAAGCATGGTCAGAGTTCCATCAGTGCCCAATTTCTTATATTTTCCCAAATAACAGGACTTCCTTTGCCTTTATGTTCCAAACCGCCTGAAATTAGGTTGATAAATGGTAGGATTTCAAAAGATGATTTAATGTATTATTTGATAAACTTGAAAGTTTGAGATAGTTTGTATTTAATTGATTTCTAACAGGCTAAAATTTTATACAGATTCATTTAATTTGAGAGGTATCTTTTATAACCAAGTATATAAATAATAAATAATATATGAAATGTTAAATAGATTAATTTTTAAAGTTTGAAAATATAAACTAGTTTTGATGTATAGTCTAAACATTCCTTGTAGTAATTATTTGGGTGTGATTGATAATGTTTGGTTGGATTGATAATCTTCCCCCAGTGCATCCAGACAGTACATAACCCCATTTTACATTGCACTGAAAGGAGTAAACACCATACACAGATAACATGTTATCTGATTTTCCTAGATACGCCGAATAAACCCAAAAACTTGCTAGATACACCGAACAAATGCCCTTAAATTAAGTGTAAAGAAAGGTATTAATATATAATATCATGGATAAACAAATTCTAACAATACAACAATGTTGGATTTACATTGATGAGAAAATTCACGTCAATCTAACAGATATTAAAAAATAATAAGAAAGCACTTAAAAATTTATCAAAATTAAAAACAGAATCAATTATCTATATTTGTATCACCATAATATTACCCATAGACTTTGAGATACTTTCTATATATAATAAATAATAATTAGTGTCTTTATTTAATCTTACCGTTTGTATTAATAAAGATATGATCCTTATTTCTCTAGTTATAACATGAGTCAAAGACATGGAAAATAAAGATTTGTGAGAATAAGATATCCAACTACTGCTTCTGTGTAAATGAAATATATGTTCTACTGTAACTCCAGTTTAAACAAATGGTAACAATACAACGATGTTGGAGAAATTCAGGTAATTCAACACATTATAAAATAATTAAAAAAAAACTAAAAAATATTATCAAAATTAAAAGCAACATCAATTATCTATATCTGTATCACCATAATTTTACCACCAGACTTTGTTAAAATAGTTTTCGTAACCAGCTCAACTCTAGTTACACTATCTTTGAACAGCCAAAATTTTAAGCTACCAAGCAGTGAAATGGTCAAGTATTATTTATTGTTTGATTTAATATTAATGGGATATCCTACCAAACATTTGTATGCATTTAATCATATACACTAATACCATTTTATTAAAAGAATTAAAGAGGGTAAATAGTACACCAAATAAAGAAAGTAAAATATGATTTGGTAGCAGGAAATAAGAATTTTATGAGGTAAGATACTATTTAAAAAAAATGTATGAAATTTCAACAATTAGACAAAATGAACTGCCTATGCATTTCTTTTAGATATGGAATTCACAAAAATGGCTAAATATAATCTGACAATTTTCAAAATATAAACTTTAAAAGAAATGAACAAAATACCTCGCCACCATGTGAGGTGTGAAATTGGCACCAATTGAGCGTGCAATTCGATCGCCATAAAAAAAAATACATAGGTAGATTAATTGATAGACAGATAAGAGAAGAGAATGTAAAAGCAAACCATAAAATAGAAAAAAGTAAACCATAAAATAGAAAAGGTTAGAAATAATTTAATTAGAATCACTTTCAATCAGACATGATATATGTTCACGGAAATAAGCTATATTAACCAATACATAGTTTTCAAAGCTTTGAATATACCTGAATGTGTACATATGTGTGTATGACACGATCAATTATAAGGTAGAAAAAGATCTAAACAAACAGTGCAATTTAAAAACTAATTGACATTTCATCGCACCATTTATTGCTTGATAACTCAGTCTTCCACTTCATGCCATTAGAAGTTGGGGATCATAATTCATCTTACAAATTTACCTGAACCTGGTTTCATGGTCATAATTACCATTTCTTCAGTCCTTTTCACAGGTATTTAGCTGCTACTTGTAATCCACCACATCCAAAAGATAATCGCTTCACCAATGTGAAAAAAAAAAATCATAATACAAAAGAGATATAACATCATTAAATAGTCTAGGTAAATGATTAGGTATTAAAGGAATGTTGAGTATGATGATTCTCATACAAACACATAATCGAGATGACAAATATCGCAACAAGAACAATTCATTTTGAACTCGTTATCGTTTGAGTATGATCCGTTTTAGATAAATTATAACACTATGAAAGACAAATGAAATGTGCATGAGTTGCATAGAATGTTAGTTCAAGAGGAAACCAAGTTAAAAAACCTAGGAAGTCACTTTGTTCATTATGTTAAATTAAGGAGCTGAAAAGAAAGTTATTCAAAAACATGGAAAGGGTAAAGGATTATTAAAGATTATCGGGTCATCTACTAAAATTCAAAAGAAAAATGACAAATGTCATTTCTGCGGGGAGTCTAAACATTTCTAGAGGATTGCTTAAAACGTAAAGTTTGGTTGGAAAAGAAAGGTGAGCATAGTACTTACGTATGTTTTGAATCAAATTTAACTAAAGTTTCCCCTAATACATAGTGAATTGATTCTGAATGTACGACTCATATTTCTAATATGATGCAGGGATTCCTTTCAACCCAAACCATAAATTCAAATGAGAAGTTCGTCTTCATGGAGGATAGAGTGAGGGTTTCAATGAAAGTTGTCGAGACTTATCGTTTAATCTTTGGTACTAGATATCACTTAGACCTTATGGATACTTTTTATGTACCTAGTATAACTAGGAATTTAGTTTATTTGTCTAAGCTAGATGTTTTTGGATACTCTTTTAAGTTTGGTGTTGGGTCTTTCTAAGGGTGTTAATAATAGGGATATTCTCATAAATGTAACCTGAGCCAACCATATAGAGAATATGACATCACTCTCAACCTAAAACCTTAAGACATTAGGTTATGAGTCTTTCTCACTTATAAGTTACTCAACTTTCCATTTCTATCTAATGTGGGACTTCAAACTCACATTTGAATTCTTAACATCTCCCCCTCAAGTGTGATTCCCTTTCACATTGGTATACTTCCCTCTCAAGCAGAAGCATTTCTTAGCCATGAGTACCTAATAATGACCTTACTTGTATCGTCGTTCAATTTAACAGGACTCGCTTGCCTGAAACCCTTATCAGGAAGACTTTTGACATAAGGACCTTTCACTTACTATAATCATACTCAACTAAGTCGGTCACTAGATAAATCATTAGACAAAAACATAAGCACACACAATTAAAATAAAAAGATGAGAAAAACATCGACAATAGGCAAAGGGCAATTCCACTAATGAAAGAAATTACAACCCTTCTCTCTCTACTTACAATGAGAGAACAATAATACCCTCTCTTGAAAATAAAAGAAAAACAACTCTAAGAGAACCTTAAAGGAGAAACTAAAAAAGGAAGTGATTTTGGTGTGTTTTTCAAGGTAAACAATGTGCTCCTTTTATAGTAAGAAAAGTAAGCATCAAAGTAAGATTTATCTGATGTGGGACTTCTCTTCTAATAATCTCCCACTTGAAGATTTTGATTGAATTAATCAAATCTTCACACCATGATTGTTTTATTCTTGTCATCCATGTTTCTTATTTTTTCGTTAGGCCATAGTAGGATCGACTCCATACAAAATTGTCAACACTAACTGGTTTTGTCATAACATCTAGTAGGTTCTCAGTGAATCTTTTGCATATCCACACTTCTTTCTTCCACTACTTCCCGACAAACACTCTTGCACTCTCAATTTTGCAAGCAAGAGGGTATCATCAGACATTTTGTTGTCCAACATACGCCTCTTGAAATCTAGTATGTGAATACGCTTCCACTACTTCGCCTCTTGAAATTTAGTATGTGAATACACTTCCACTACTTCCGCTGAGGCGTATGTTGGATAAAAAAATATCTGATGATACCCTCTTGCTTGCAAAATGTTAAAAATTCTTCATCTATATATTCTCCTCCGTTATTTGTCCTCAAGCACTTAATTATTTTCCTAATTTCAAGTTCTACTTGTGCTTTGAATTCCTTGAACTATGAAAACATATCTGACTTCTTCTTGATAGGGTACACCCACAATCTCTTGGAGTAATCATCGATGAATGATACAAATATTTTTCTCCTCCGAGGAATAGTACTGGCAATTCCCACACATTAGAATGAATCAAGTCCAATATGTGTTTACTTTTAGCAGTCACTGTAGAAAACTTCAATCTATGTTGCTTGCTTATCACACAATGCTCACAAAAGGGTAAACTAACTTCTTTAATCTCGAATAAGAGATTACGTTCTGTAAGAATTTTCAACGAACTTTTTGACATATGACCAAGTCTATGATGTCATATAATCACTGTATATTCCTGACTTGTTATCGCAATTGATGCATCCGCTTCTTGCAACATATCTCCAAACAACACATACAAATTTGTCATGATCTTCTTTGCTTTCAGGACCCCCAAACTCCCCTTCACCACCTTCTAGATTCCCCTTTCAACATGGATCTTACACCCAAGGTCATCTAATTGCCCAATGGACAATAAATTCTTCCACTACAAGAAAAAACACTATTAGCGACCGAAAAAAGCGGTCGCTAATGGAAAAAAATTGGTCGCTATTCAATTAGCGACCGAAATGGGTCGTCGCAAAAGGTCAAGTCGCTAATTTGTTAGCGACCGATTTACATTTCGGTCGCAAAATAGCGACCGATAAGGTGGTCGTTAAATAATTTGGTTACTTATTCCTTAAAGACCAAAATAGCGACCGAAATTAATATAATAAATCGGTGGTAAAGTTTAAAAAAAATAACGATCGATATATTCGGTCGCTAATATATTAATTAAATTATTTAAATAATAATTAAAATTGGTCGTTAAATTGGAGGCAAAGTTAAAAATAATAGCGACCGATATAATCGGTCACTAATACATTAATTGAATTATTTAAATAATAATTTAAATCGATTCGTAAAAATAGTCACGGAATAATTTTGGTTGCTAAATTTCAATTGTATATTATAATATATTTGTAGCGACCAAAAATTCGGTAGCTAATCTAACCAAATCTGAAAATTTTTGTTTAAAATTTTGTATATCCAATTTTACAAAATTTGTACCTGCTTAATTGATCCAAACAGAACACAAATGAAAACTTAAAAAGTGACATAAAAATCATTGAGGATGTATGACATTAATTATAGTCTCTTAATCTTGAAAAGTGACATAAAAATCATGAAAATTGTCACTTGTTGTCAGTAGATAAAAGTCTTAGTGAAGATAAATATCCTGGTGCTATATTAGAGTTTGAATTTGCAAAACATATGATGCAGACCACCAAATAATTGTGTAAGTAAACCCAATAATTATGCAATTTCCTTTCACTAAGATCCAACAGATAATTAAAATAAATTACAAATGGTTAACCTGAGGGTGTATAGTCTCAACAAGTTCCCAAATTGGTCTGTCAACCACCACCAAATCCGCAGTAAGGGGGATCCAAGAACCTATCTACTTCACAAATCCACCTACAACAAACGATAAAGAAATCCTATAAAAATTATCTCTCCTATATTATTCACAATGCAAGAGAATAATAGTATATAGTGCCACCTTTCTTGGGCCAAAGAAGCCAAACCTTGGTTGAATATACATTCAAGCACATGTTTTACATATAGTCTCACGTACATAAGAGAACAAAAATGTTGACAGAAATCACATAGAAATGTTTGTTTAAATACAAGTATATATATATATATATATATATATATATATATATATATATATATATATATATTAGAAATCATATAGTTTTATGAATCTTATCATATCAGTAATATTGGCTTACTAGATATTGACATATCTCCCTTCTCTCTTTTTCATCTACTTTCCCTGTAGCATATACCATCAAAATAGAGAGATTGATTTTGATTCAAATTCATAAATAAAAAAAAATCGCATACTTCTCCACTTGCGATGTTGATGATCTATGGAGTGAATCCCATCCCAACTGAACCAGACATCAATTCACCTAGTAACAAGTAACCGCTCAAAACATAAAAAGCAAAAGTATATAAATCAATCATGTAGGGTGAATCCGGATTACACACCAATCTAAGTTAGAGGTTGCATTAGACACTCACAAGGCTAGAGGGTGAAAATAGAGAACATACCAAACTTATGAACATTATTCTAACTATGTGTAAGTGTCACCAAATATTATTAACACTACAAGAAAAACACCAAATAGTGACCGAAAATTCGGTCACTAAATGTGCAAAATCGGTTACTAATTAAAATAGTGACCGAAATAGTGACCAACTGGAATCGGTCAATAAATCAATGAAAAATTTAATTATTTTTATTTATTTACATTTTTATTATATCTATTATTTATTTTCCCTATCTCTTAATTATATTATATTTTGCTTATTTAAGTTTTTATTTATATTTATTTCTCCTATCTCTTAATTATATTATATTTT